AGCATTCTGAGAATTGGATGAAGTGGCTTGAGAACATTTTTCTGTGTAATTTTTTTTTTTTTTAACTGTTATCCCAAATATAATATTTATTTATTAATAAAGAAAAATATAATTTTATTATAATAATTAATAATTGCTAATTTTATTTTTTTTTTTTTGAAAACAAACTTGATGATTGAAAAATACTAATGAATGCCTGTTACCACTGGCCTTCAAATTGCCATGTTGTAATTGATCACTTCTAAAGCAAATGATTTGTCCTTTTTTTAATTGAAATAATAAATTCCTATTTCTATTATTCTAGTGTTGTCAAATTCCATCTTATTAAATTCCTGGTTTAATTTTTTAAGAAAAATTCAATGCATTTTTTTTTATATTTAGCATTATAATTATAAGGTGTTTTTTTATCATAACCTAATTCAATAGCTAATTTTTCCCACATTGGAAACGTATCATAAGAATCATTTAACCCTCCTTGACTTAATTTAATTGATTTTTCATTTCTTAATGTTTCAACAAATAAAGAAAAACAGGGAAATTTTTCTAATTTATAATCAATAAATTTAAAATAAGGGATAAATCGAAAGTCTAAATCATTTTCATTATTTAAATAATTTTTAAATAATTCAGATAAATTCTTTATTTTTATTTTAATTGAGGAAATTAGATCCTCCTCAATTGGTAAATCAAATTTCCATTCTTTAACATGCTCTGAAACTTCTTTTTCAGACAAAGATTCAATTGAGCTTTGCATCCACAAATTACTTCTTTCTACTTTATAATCAGGCTATGACAGTAAATTTTTATAATAAAAAAATTAGTTTAGAAAAATTTAAAAATAATGTAGTAAAATTATTAAAATATTTACTATATCTCCAGGTATAATGTTTTCTAAATTAAAGTTTGTAATAGTAACATTAACATCATATAATCTTCTGGTTGTCATTTTATAATTTTCAATTTTTTTATATTTATATACTGTATATATAAATATTAATATTAACATTCACGATTTTATAATCATATGATGTGGGACACCCTAGTAATTAATGCATGTTGTTAATTTAGTATTAGTATGGCTTTTTTAATAATGCACCAATGTATATTATTATTATTAATATTATATTTTCTTAAATCTTTAAATATTATAAACAAACACATGTCATTAATACTTTTATTTAATTTAGATATTAATATTTTTTGAGAAGAAGCAAGGGAGAGAATATTCAAATTTTTTAAAATTGCATCACACCGCATGTAAGAAAGTTTATTAAATTTATTAATATATATAATTAATAATTAATAAACATTTATTTATCTTGTATCATTTGTATAAATAGTCTTGTTTAAATTATTATAATAATGCCATTTGGGATGGATTAACTTTAAGTTTCCAAGCTTATGCCATTTTATAAAAATTTGAACAAGGATGAGTGCATTTAGAATTAATATTGATAACAGGTAATTCATTTAATTAACAATTTATAAATGGTTCATAAT